ATTCCCGCACAAACACACACACACAAAGCCTACATGGAATTTCACCGGACCACACTACTCAAAACCAAATTGACCATATCTGTATCAACAAAACGTTCAGAAGGACTATGGAGGATGTGAGAACCAAGATAGGAGCTGATATAGCCTCAGATCACCACTTGCTGGTAGCCAAAATGAAACAGAAACTCAAGAAACCCTGGATAACGGGGCAGACAACATCACACCAGTTTAATACAGCCTTTCTTCGGGATACCGTAAAACTCAACGAATTCAAGATAGCCCTCACCAATAGGTTTCAGGCCTTTCAGGATCTACTCAATGGAGAGGTAATCACTTCAACATGTCACGAAGATCTGGGTCACAAGGAGTACCATCAAAAGGATTGTATGTCTGTTGGTACTCTTGAAAAAATTGAAGGAACAAGAAGGCAGCAATCAATGTCAGCCGAACAAGAACAGAGAAAGTTACTGCACAAGATGCACACACAGAAGCAAACAGGGAAGTGGAGAAGAGCATCAGAGCTGACAAACGAAAATATGTGGAAGATCTAGCAATGACGGCGGAAAAGGCTGCAACGGACGGAAACTTTAGACAATTGTACGAAACAACAAAGAATCTCACCGAAAACTATCGTAAACCAGAACGACCAGTGAAAATCAAGGAAGGGAAAGTAATCAGCAACACTGAAGAACAGAGAAATAGGTGTGTAGAGCAGTTTCAGGAACTATTGAATCGACCAGTGAACACACACAACATCGACGCAGCATCCACGGACCTCGCAATTATTATTGGCGCACCAACAATTGAAGAGATCAGCATGGTCATCAGACAAATCAAGAGTGGCAAATCAGCAGGACCAGACAACATTCCAGCAGAGGCAATGAAAGCATATGTAGAAACAACTGCGAAAATATTTCACATCCTCTTCAAGAAGATTGGGGATGAGGAACAAGTACCATCAGACTAGAAAGAAGGATACTTCATCAAAGTACCAAAGAAAGGCGATCTCAGCAAGTGTGAGAACTACAGAGGCATCACTCTTCTTTCAATAACAGGCGAAGTCTTTAACAGGTTATTGTTAAACAGAATGAAGCACTTCATAGACGTCCAACTTCGAGATCAACAGGCCGGATTTCGTAAGAATCGACCGTGTACTGACCAAATTGCTACATTACGGATCATTGTGGAACAATCAACTGAATGGAACTCACCACTCTACATCAACTTCGTCGACTACGAGAAAGCATTCGATAGCGTGGACAGGAAAACACTGTGGAAGCTTCTTCGACACTATGGTGTGCCTGAGAATATAGTTAACATCATACGGAATTCTTATGATGGATTCAACTGCAAACTCGTACACGAAGGACAGCTAACAGACTCGTCCGAGGTGAAGACCGGTGTCAGGCAAGGTTGCTTACTCTCACCCTTTCTCTTTCTCCTGGTGATCGACTGGATTATGAAAACGTCAACATCTGGAGGGAAGCACGGTATCAATTGGACAGTTAGGACGCAGCTGGACGATCTGGACTTCGCAGATGACTTGGCTCTTCTATCGCACACGCAACAACAAATGCAAGAGAAGATGACCAGTGTAACAGCAGCCTCTACATCAATAGGTCTCAACATACATAAAGGAAAAAGCAAAATTCTCCGATACAACACAACATGCACCAACCAAATCACTCTTCATGGAGATGCTTTGGAGGACGTTAACACCTTTACATATCTTGTCAAATGTGTACACAAATGTCAAGACAGTTCTAGTGTGTGGAGCGGAAACTTGGAGAACTACGAAAGGCATCATCCAGAAGATACAACTATTAATGAACAGTCGTCTACACAAAATACTTCGTATTCGTTGGCCAGACACCATCAGTAACAACGTATTGTGGAAGAGAACAAACCAGATTGCAGTGGAGGAGGGAATCAGGAAGAAGCGGTGGAAGTGTTGTTATTTTATTGTTTTGTTATTTTGTACTTTTTAAACAATAACAAATAATAGTTATTATGGTCAGTGCATTTTTAATTTATTTTGCAATAGATGTTAAGTTGACGAATATGTCTTGTAATCTTTGATGCACAAATTATTTTAATTCTCTTATTCTTCTGTAACTTCTTCGTAATTACACAACTGTCTTTTGATGTTTGAAATGATGGATCACTTTACCACATAATCTCTATTCTTACATCGACTTATAAATTTATTTAACATGTTTAATTAAAGATGTACAACAGGTTAGGCAAATGATTTCGTCGAAAAATAAAGTTTCTTTTCTGAATTCTCTTTAATTTTGGTGAATAAATGAGTTAATTGTAGTTGCAGTTTAACCCAGAAGCTGATCTTATCTAGACCGCCATTGGAAACCTGAAAGCCATTTCATCCAAGGATGCGACTCATCAACAGTGCCCATCCACGACCCTGCACCAAGGAAACGAACCCCGGGCATTCAGTACTGCAGATGCTTAATCTTTAGACTACTGATTTGAAATCCAACAGTGTTAATGTCTAACTTCAAGCAATCCAAGATAGTAACTAGCAGTGAATAGCTTCACAAAATGATTTGCCGTTTCCTCTGACATCCACTCACTGTTTTCCAACTTACCCCCTTATTAACCAACCTGTCACATTTATGTCGGCAGTTGTTTGCTGAGCCCGTGTGACTCATCCTATCCACTTCAATCGATTAAAATTCAAAAATTGTATCAGCCAACATGTCACTCTTATCTATTACTTTAAACTTAACATCAACCCCCCCCCTTGTATATATGAAAATCCTTATATAGTATAGGTGCTTAGTAATCTGCCTTTTTTATTTACTAATATAAGTAGTTGCTTCAGTTTCATGAAAACATCATTTCTTACTGGTTTGTCTGAATGATATATCACATCCAAATAAACGAAATTCCATATCTTGTTTGGTCTATTGTTTGCGATATGTTTATAATATGATGAAATTAATAGTAACATCAGTCGTAAATGTTTTAGTACTTTTGAAGGTCAAATTACATAAAACGAAATTTTTTTATTTCGGTCACGTTATGCAGTCTTGCGCTTGTTTTTAGCGTTATTATCACAATCTAAAATCAGTCTGAGTAGGGTTCACATAAGGTGTGCATGGAAAATTTTCACTCAAAACAGTTCATAAACTTGAACTCATCAAACGAGTATTTTTCGGTTTAATCTATGTCTGTTGCCCTTTGTCATAAGTCTACCCCTAACAAATTTATTTACATTCCATACAAAAATGTTTAAAACTAGACTGTACAGTAAAAGTCTCAAAATAATTGTGAACATGTTAAAGTAGTAAGAGCTGCTTTTTCATGAGCGGTGTTGAACACATTTTATCCGTTAAATTAAAGTATATTCAGTAGATGTCATTATTAAAAGTCACTAAATTAGTTTTCCTCTGCCAACAATCTCATTATTTCGACTACTTTGACTATTCACTATCGTGCTGTGTTAATTTGAATTGTAGTAATTCAGACTGAAGAATGTTAATTTCTAATTGTCTAACTTTGATTAGATCTAATCTAGGGCAGATTTCTTCATAAGATAATTTTAAACCTAGCATATGTACTTCGCTAATGGTATCTGTTAAGCGAATTACATTATCTATTTTGTTTTGCATCAAGGTTTTAATATAGTAAGCGGAGGGTATTGCGTAAATAGTTGAGCATTGATTATAATGATCAATAATTCCAAGAAAGTGGCATATTATTGAAATGAATTGGATTTTTTTTTACTAAATAGACTCAGTTTGTTTTTTACACAATTCGGTGCTTTTTTAAATGTGATGACACGTTATAATATCAAAAGCTGAAAATCTACTTTCTAAAATTTGATTAACTACGAAATAATCAATAAGTTTCATTACTTATTAATCAACCTTATCTAAACTACTAATGACCGCAATCTCGGTGCTTGTTGTTATGATATTACAATTCATTAATGACGTATTGACATGACTGGAAATAATGGAGCTTTGGAGTCAATTGATGTTTTATCAGGAAATGCTCCCACAGGTCGGCTTACTGAATATATCAAGAAATTAACACTTATTTATGTACAAAATAATTCAATTAAGATATCATGACTTGTAGAAGATTATCAGTCAACGATAGAAATGCATTCCGTAAATAATTATTGCATTTAGTTGAGATAAATATATTTCTCAATGAACAATTCCAAATATTTGTTTGCATGTTTTGATTTTCCTTGTAGATATTCTTATTGTCAGTCATATTCGACAATTTTACCGAAATCCTCAGTGTGTTATTCATTCATCGAAAATATTGCTAATGAATATAAAGAACCTTATTTAATTTCTCGATCTCGTTTATATTCTAACGAAATTAGCGATGAAGCTATTAGAAATCTTTTTACCAGCTGGGATGAATTATTATCATCATCGTCATCGTCCCCAGTGCATTTATCTCATGTGTTTAATGATTCTCAATTTCATAATTATTCCAGTGATGCTTTCGAAAGTTTAAATACGTCTGTTAGAAAATCACGGGATATTGTAAATACAATAAGTTTATCCAGTAGTAGTAGTAATAATAATACTGCTGCATGGCGATGCATTAATTTAGCTAAGCATTTAACCTGTGCTATATCTTATCCTCGATGTGAACTTACTGACTTGGATAGAAAATCAACATCTGTAATTGAGTATCCTGTATGTTTGTAAGTTATTTATAAATAAATAGTTTGTTGTTTATTTAAATCCTTATAAAAATTTCTTTTTTGTACTATCAAGTAGTTAACTATAGATTGATTATGAATTATTCAATTGTTTGTTTTTTGATTAACTCGTATGTGTTGTGAAGTACACAGAATTGAAATGAAACTAAACCAGTGAACAATATTGTTTCATAAGTAACGAAATGTCACTTGTCTCCCTAAATTGCAATAGATGGGATTGGTTTCAAGTGGTGTAAACCTGAAACTATAACCAAAATCTAGGTTTGACTTGGTGGTTGAAGTTTTTGATTTTCAATCATCTGGTCAGTGGAATACAATTACTAATTAGAACACAAAATATTTTAAAGTGTATATAAACCGGACATGATAAACAACTCATATTCCAGTAAGATTTCTGAATTTATTATGTAGAATGGCTCAGAGCGTCAACGGTTGTTACCAGTGGGTTTCCTTCAATCCACTGTTCAATCTACGGAATTCTAGTTGATCATAACAAATATTTTAATGTAAAGCAATAGATCATTAATTATTAGAAACATCATGATCTTGTATTCATTTTTAAAAATGTGACCTCAAACTACCATTGAAATGAACCACATATCCTTACAATTAGACCAGTATTCCGAAATGAAATATGGTAGGTAGCATTTCAATGACTTTTAGTCGAGAAGGCTTTTCATTTATTTTTGTATCTTGGTATACGTTATTCCGTTGGAGCCATAGGTGAATGGTACAGGTACAAAGATTTAGAAGGTTCAAACTGGGCTTTATATTAATTTTCATAGGATACATTAGAAACGACAAAAGTAAACTGTGAATAATTTTAAAACATGTAATAATAGGAGTTTTCAATTCAGTGAGAGAGCAGTTGAATAATTGTAACTAATTAAAGCACAAATACAAAACAAAGTGAACGAGAAACAACAACTTTAATGGAAGTCGTAAATTTTGAAAATGTCTACCTGTTCATGGAGTAAAATCACTGTTAGTTACATCAGTCGAAACATTCTTAAGCTACCTATTTAAAGTTTATTAAAGTAATGTTATCAGTTTTTCCAAGTTTTCGGTTAGTGATATTTCAGAAAATATGGACATTTTAATTTCGATCTCAGACTTGGGATTAGGCTCTATACCTTAGTACTGTAAAAATGAAAATTAAATTAATCGAACCAGAAAGCAGTATTGCAGCATCTACGATAAAAGTGGTATCGAATTGAAGTGCTAAGTGGTCTGAACAACAGTATGCAAGAAGCCTACTGACTAAGTGTTCAGTTTTACAATTTATGTGAGAACTTGAAAGTCTGTATACCAATCGTAGATAATTTGTAGAGTTTTCTAAGCACTAATCATTAACGTACTTTAGACGAAGGGAATTTATCTAACCATGGATTTATAACTTTTAAATTACATATCGTTAAGTTTGTTTAATTCTTGCAATAGCTGTCTGTACAAGTAATCACATGTATCAGTCAGTTTGAAACAATTATTTATGAATAGTTATGACCTTTGTTTTTGATATAATCTATTGAAATAAAGTTATTATGACAAAATAAACAGTTTAACTATTTGTGTTTTGATTTCATTCATTTTATCTTAGCTCTGTTTACCTTGCACATGTTGGTTATGATTGTTTGTTCTCCCTTTTTTGTTTTACTGAATAAAATTTTATTTATGGTTTTGTAATAAAGTTGTGATTGAATGGTTTATGTACTTCAAGTTCAGCTTATCAACTCTTGTTGGATAAAATCTATTCTATGGACATTTTTTTGTTGACTTATTGTCAAATTTTTATGGCAGGAATTTCATTAAGTGAAATTGGTGTTTAGTACACGTAGTATAAATATTACAATTGGGTATTTTAAAAGTTTAACAGTAACAAAATTTTGAAATAATTAATTATTCGTTGTTACGAGCTCAATCAAAAACCATCTTTCCATAGATTCTTAATTTGAATAACTGGTTTGAAATGATTGTCTGTCAGTTACAGCGCAGAACTTCATACATACGTACGTACATCAGTTCTAGTTGTCATACCACATTGAACTGTCAATTTAAATCCCATAGTGTTAGAGGTAGTAGAAGTATTAGTAGTAATGGAGAAGATCAGGGTTTGAAGATACGATTGAAGAATTATAATTCACTGAAATGAATTTTAAAAGAGATAAAAGGTGTTGAGGAATTTAGAAAATTAGAATTTGAGAGAAGTCAACGAATGGACTTCTTTTGTACACCTTTCAAGTGTATTTATATATAAATATTTATATATATTCATTTATATACTGATGACTAGTTGCCTCGTACATCTAGACTATGTCAATCTTAACGTTTTGCTACTTAAAGATTTTACTATCTACATTTAAATCATGAATTACCAAAACACTTGTTTAGTATCTTAAGTACTTGGTTTTAAGCCAGTTAGTCGTGAGTTTTGGACTCCACGCTACATGCTTCAATTTAGGTACTAGAGAAGTAATATTAACCCTCACACTGATAATGCGTGTCAAGTTTTAGGCTATGGTATTACTAACCTTTTATTCTTCACCCTAGTTTATCATGCCTTTTGTGTCTAGATTTCTAATGCAAATAAATTGAATTCCTCTCATCTTGTCGCTTACCTTTTTCGTTGTGTACACATTATTCCTACTTGCGCAGATAGACCTTCGTTTCATATCCTACTTCGATAACGACCGACTAACTGAAACAGTCTGTTTTGTTTATGCTGGAAATAATAGTTGTATTCGTAAGACAGGTATAGAAAGCTTGTCGATTTTTTAAAACTGAAACTGATTTTTTTACAATGATTATTCGGATACCGAAGCCCATCAATGCAAACGAAAATATTGTTCAATTATTTTTCCTCAAATTATTTTCCATTGTCCGTAGAAAAACTTCATTTACCAACAAAGTGGAAATTTTGAATGACTTGTCCACCTACTAACAAGTAGTTTGTTACTTGCTCCGGCCGTCCATAACCGAACTCATTAAATGTCTCGTGAAAAGGTGATCTTGTCTCATTGAGAGCCTTTTTGGTTGCATTATATATCAATAGTTATGGAACATGGGGTTGTTGGCAGTGAAAAGTCTAATGTATTTTATTTTTCTGCTAAAATGTTTACTTTAAAGGAGCATCTATGGATTATGTATAATATCTGTTTCATGTTGTTATTTATTTTCATCGTCTTTGTCAAATAGGAAACATTGTCTCGCCGTTACAGGTCTATTTTGCTTTTCCTCGTTAAACATGTTGAATAATTCAGCTTTGGATAGGCTTCTTGACATAATTCCTCAGAATGAATCTTCTATGACTTCTAATTTAATGAAAACAGGTTGGTCAGAACTGATCAACGTACCAGAAGCTAAAAATCAAAGTCTTCCACTGAGTTTCTTCGACTCTGAAGTCGATGGGACATCAAATCCCTTTTACATTTGTTCATCTTACAACAGTTATATTATGTCTGTTGAACCATCTACAAAATCTGTTTGTACTCGTTTACCCATTGAAAATAAAAATCCAACAAATTTCAATGAAGAAAGTAAGAAAACTCCTGTTGAAGAAAATTGTAAGTTTTTATCACTTTTACTAAATTTTTAACAAGCTTCTGCATGTTTAATCAATCATTTTGTAGAGAAACATTTCAGCACAGTGTAATACGTTAAATTTTAATGGGCCATTGAAATAAACGGTTTTCTTTAGTTCATTCATTCTAATTGTATTTGTTTCATTTACAGTAGGCGCTAGTAAAATGAATTATGGTTTTTCTCTTAAATCATTGTACATATATTGTCTGATTTCACATTATGATAATGATGCAGCAAAGTGATTCAGATTGAGTTTTTCTATAACTCATCAATACGGAAAATAGACTGTTACTTTATTTGACTCGTAACGGTGGCTTAGCGTTAAAGACATTCAACTTTGAGCTTAGGTTCGAACTTCACTCTACCTACTTTGGATTGTTCAACCAACCAGTTAGTATTATTAGCTCTTACGCTTAGAGTGCAGGCATACTATGAATTAGTTGAAAAATTTAATTCATTTGATAAATACCCATGTTTGACTTTGTTAATTTTTCTTCCAATCTCATCAATTTCTTTCTTGGTTGTGTCAATGTGAGGTGGGACTCTCGTGTGTATTTAGTATTCCTACAGGATATATCAAAGTACAAATAAATTATCTAGTAATTATCCGATATTCTCCGTCTAATGAAATAGTGTTATTTCAACACTGAGACAGTAAAAATACTTTTTATCTTAGGTATCATTATTTCGTAAATTTTATATTAGCTCTTTATTATTTTATTGTTGTGGCAATGCAATTTGTTTCCTGTAGGTGTAGATTACTTTTTCTTAGGCAACTTTTTTTCATGAATATAAATAATACAAGCTATAACTAGGCATCAATCTCTTGTTTTTGAGTTTTGTATTCTATGTATGAAAGTGCTTTTGTGTCATGCGTTCCCTGAGATTTTCTGTGATCGTTAATGATTGTTATCTGTTATTTTCAGTTGTTCTATTTTTGTTTGACATAGTACCTATCCTCACATGTGCTATCTCCTGCTAAGAATGCAGCATTTTATTGCATATTATGGTTTATTTGTCTGTTCGCTAACAAGTTGGTTTTCCAGTCTGATTTCGCTCTTTTTCCCGTGCCTGTATTGTTGATAATTGATTGGAATCCGAAGAAAATTCATAAATGTTTCTATTTACTATTTTTTAAAGCAGATTACTATTTATATTTATGATCAGCATTATTACAATACTAATTTTTTAGTTGTAATTACTTTTTACAGATGTCCTATTATTGTTAACATTCTTCTTTTGAATAAATTATTTTGTAGTAAAAGTTGTGTACGCATACATAGTGTACATTATTTATTTATGATCTAGTTAAATATTTAATGGGATCTAGCTGATCAGTCAGTCAGTCAGATGCAACGTAGAACTTCGTACGTAAGTACATCAGTTCATGTTGCCATGCCACATCAGCACACAGATGTAATTGTCAATCCAAATCCAATAGTAGGAGAGGTAGTAAAGGTATTAGAAGCAGGTTGGTATGATATCAAAAAGGCTGTGGAAACAGCAGTGATATCTGCTAGTAAGGTAAACCATAAGGCTAGGATGAAGCCGTGGATCTCGATAGCATCTATTGAACTGATGGATGCTCGAAAACTCATCCCACCTCGCTCTGAGGGCGATGAGAAGCGGAGTCATCTTAGACGTAGGCTGATAAAAAGCCTACGTAACGACCGCGAACAGTGGTGGGTGGCGAAAGCAAAAGCGATGGAAAAGGCAGCGACGATAGGCAACAGTAGGCAACTATTTAGACTCATCAAGGAAACTGGTATTAGGAACCCAAATGTGAGTGGATGGTCTTATAATCTATTCCCAATCCAGGAGACTGGACCGATGGGCAGAACACTTCAGGGATCAGTTCAACTGGCCTTCAGCCACACTTCGGTTGCCCACGATCTCCAGCCATCCTGAATGGAAAACCGACTTAAGTCCTCCGAATCCTTATGAAGTTGAGAAAGCGATAGGAAATCTGAAGCGAGGGAGAGCTGTGGGTCCTGATAAATTGACCCCTGAGATTTTTAAGAATGGTGATCCAGCTTTAGCAACTCGGTTGACTGAGATGTTAGGTAGAATCTGGGAACTGGACGTAATCCCATCCGACTGGTCTCAATCCCTGATTGTCTCAATTTATAAGAAAGTACAAGAGTCGTTTTGTGACAATCACAGGGGAATCAGTCTAACCAATATAATACCTAAAATGTTGGCCTCAATAATACTTCGACGCTTAACGAAAGCTCGTGAAGAGCAGACCAGAGAAAACCAATCTGGTTTACGACCTAGACGTGGTTGTATAGACCACATCTTCACACTACGATAGGTCCTGGAACACAGACACACATTAAGGCGTCTTACAATAGTTGTCTTCCTGGACCTTAAGGCGGCATTCGACTCAGTGGATCGTGAGGTTTTGTGGCAGTGTTTGTCATTGAAAGGTGTACCAGAGAAGTACATTAACCTCATACAAGCTCTCTACTCGAACACCACTGGTCGAGTGAGAGCTTATGGCGAACTGTCATCTGAATTCTCTACATCAAGTGGTGTCCGTCAGGGATGTCCACTTTCTCCATTCTTGTTTAATTTTATCATAGACATGATCCTAGAAATAACCTTATCCTCGTCTGAATTTTCAGGAGTAGACCTTTTACCAGGTGGCTCGCTTATTGACTTAGAATATGCCGATGACATTGTCCTCCTTGGTGAAGACGCTGACAAAATGCAGAGTCTTCTGACTACCATAAGCAACAATGCAAGCATGTTCGGGATGCGGTTTTCCCCCTCGAAATGCAAAATGTTGCTTCAAGATTGGGTTTCATCGGCACCTGAACTAGTGATAGGGAGTGAAGTGGTCGAACGTGTAGACCGCTTCACTTATCTAGGAAGTCTCATTAGCGCTGATGGCCTGGTGACTGACGAAATCTCAGCCTGGATACAGAAGGCTCGATCAGCTTTTGCCAACCAGTCAGTCAGATGCAACGTAGAACTTTGTACATAAGTACATCAGTTCATGTTGCCATACCACATCAGCACAGAGAAGTAATCGTCAATTCAAATCCAATAGTAGAAGAGGTAGTAAGGGAATTAGAAATAATCGGAGAGGTTAGGATTAGAAGATACTATTCAAGAAGTATGATTCAGTGAGAAAAGTTTAGAGAGTCGAAACTAGAGGGGTTGAAGAATCCAGAAGACTAGCATTTGAGAGAACATAGAGAATAAATGCACCGGCGCCATTGCGAACGATTCTGAGCCATGTCATTCAAGGTCTCTAACCATCGATTATTATCATCTCGCGGACCCCAACCAGGTAGTCGACAATTACCGACATGGCTCAGTCCACTAGTCAGTGACTTCATGGATTTCTGCCATGTTTTGGTTTGGCCGCCCCTAGCTTTCTTCCAACCTATTCCCACACTACAAAACAAGGCTCGACGAGGCAGCCGGTGGTTGGGCATACGCAACACATGTCCCAACCACCTCAACTGGTGAAGTTTCAATACTTCATCGATTGATCTGCCATTCTTACCTAGTACCCGATTCCTAATAACAGCGTTGCTCACTCGGGTGTCCCACGATATACGAGCAATGCTTCGAAGACACCTATGATCGAAAACCAGTAACCTACGAATATCTTCTACTCTGACTGGCCATGTTTCACAGCCAACCTGCGTCACTTATGGCGTAGGCGAGATATCCGTTTGCTGACTAAAGGACGAGTGTACTGTGGTTCGCTCCGTCTGACCTAATGACTGTGAAACATGGCCAGTGAGAGTAGGTTACTGGTTATCGATCATAGGTGTCTTGCTCGTATATCCCCTCTTAAAGGCCCTTAGTGGGCACCCTTACCGCCGGGGACGGAAATCCGTGAGGTGTGACAATTTTTAGGATCGACCTTTTCTAACCCTCCCTTCTTTGTGAGAAGCCAGCATCGCTGAAGATGCTAGTTGTCCGAGGGAAACATCTTACTGCTGTCACACCTCTCTGCAGTCAGCAGTACGACTTCGCCTACAGATCTTGGGTAGCTGCTTTTAGTCTCATCGTTCTCCAATCGACCTGCCTGTCATGGTAGAACCTTGAGGAACATATGTTCCAGCCAGTATAGCTCGGTTGTGTCGTGACGATAGTCAAGCCTGACCACCACGTCAAGGTAGCAGCTACGGTCGGGAATCAGTCTGGCTGATAATTATAATTAAAAAGTAATCATATGAGTTGAATACTTGGCATGATTTGTTTATAGTTTTCAACATATATCACTGATTCTTTATTTAAATAGATGCTTCCACTTTTTTTGATACCTCTGACGAAATTGTGTTTTTGAGATGAGCATGGTTTTATTGAGAACTGTCAAATGCCATAAGAAGGTTGTGTAATCATCAAGAAGTTACAAAAGAATGAGAGAATTAAAATAATTTATGAATAAGAAATGCAAAAAGATATTTGTCCACTTTACATCTATTACAAAAGAAATTAGAAATGCGCTGACCATAATAACAACTATTGGTTATTGTTTCAAAAGTACAAAATAACAATAGAAACGAAAATAAGACTAAAATATAACTGGTAATGGAGATTAGAGACATAGAAGAATGATGAGAGGGTGCATGTATTGCTTTTGCAAGCATAGTTCAGACTTGAGCTGTTGAATTGTCAACACCTCAACAGGGTATAAAGTTATGATTGTGATTCTCTGATTTTTCTGTAACCACTCAATTATTACATTACGTTGAAATGTCTGATCATATTGCTACAGAATTTCTCGCTATTCTTTCATATATTTATCAAATAAATATAAATTCTGATGTGTAGCTTAAGTAAATGAATTCGTTGAAATGAATATGTTCTTTAATTTTTTTCCATCCTGATCTAACCCTGTTTACTTGTCACATACATCATAATCTTAGCAAAAATAAATATGAGTGAACACTGGCAATGAGTAGTGTAATTAGTATTTCTCAACGGCCTTAGTAGAACACTTCAAATACTGACTTTATCATGATCTACTAACACTTTACCTGCTCTTTCATATGTATGGATTGATAAAATCATTCGGTTCTGTTTCAATATACTTCAGCTGTTCAGTAATTTTTTTCTTCATCAAATTGATTTTCCAGCTTTGTTTCCATGACCTTAAAAAACCACTGTTGTCGTAAATTGTTTTAATTCAAGTAAAGACATGTTAGTACGATCGTGCGTTATAACATGAATAAGATTTTCAAATTTCAATTTATGTGAGTAGAAGAAATTATAATTTTCGGAATAATTACATAGTTTTAAATCCGTGGATAGGGCTTGAATAATAATTTATATGTTTTTCAGTCATTCAAAGAATATTTGCTTACTAGTAGGTGTTTGCATTTTAAGATTTTGATTTGATCACAATAGAGATACAGTTTTGTAGATGAATTTGTAATCCAATGGAAAGATGATTAAATGCATATGATATTTGCAGTATGTTTCTTTCTAGTTAATTCATTCATCTGTGACTGTATGTTACTTGTTACCTGTTGTGGAGTTTAGGATGAAACAGTTGAAATGAAATTATTTCAAAAAAATATTTTAATGTTTATTTTGCTCAATGCATTTATTGTACAGCCTTGCAAATAAATAAACTCATCGTAAAGAAATCTTTCCTTGAATTTACTGTTTTCATGTCTAACTTATTGTTCTTACGTTTATTTGTGATTATCACTGCAGTCTCATTGGAGTTAGGGAATTCGGTAGAGTTTTTATGACAAAAATTTCTTCTTCTTAAACTATATAGTAAGATTGCTAAGAGGGGAATCATTCACACCGTAGTTTGATGATGCTTATTTCTTAGTTTTATTTTTGTTTTCAAGTTGTTTATATTATTCAGGTTATTCAGTTTTTCATTTTCATGATACAAAATTTATCGTATAATGAATATTCAAAGCATTTTTTTGTATGACTTGTTTAATTTAGTTGATTGTATCAACGGGAACGGGGAAAATTACAGAGGTTCTGCTACAATGCCAGAATGTAAACCATGGTCTAATCTGTTTGTTCTCGACGATAATATACAAAATTTACAACCTGGTATTTGGCCAGGTTTTTACAGTCTAAACAGTTTCACTTTTCCTAGAAGTTTAGGTCATGAAACTAGTTCTTCAGCTGTTTGTCGCAATCCGTCTGGTTTGGCATCAAGACCATTCTGTTTAAGTCTTAAAGGCAATAAAGACAATTTCTTAGATATATCTATGCATTCAGAGTCTAATCATTTGGAAGAATGGTATTTAACCTCCTGTGATCAAATTCCTCAATGTTCAAAATCAACTAACATCAGTGATTATCATAATTGGACTTTAGATAATGTATCACTTCAAGCTTTGGAAATAACAGAAGCTCAATTACAGGTATATTATACAGCAGCATTTGAAATGTTTTGTTTTGTTATTGACATTTGAATACAAATTACATTCATTCATGTGACTTTATGCAGTATATATTTCTTATTTTAAAAAGTTTAATGATAAATCACAATTTATCGCGACGTTATTTTAGTTTACTAGTATGGTTTACTTGTATAATATCTTTGTTTATCTGAATTTCATCATTCAATTTATAATATGACATATTTAGAGATTATCTTTTCTTCATATACCAAAGTATGTAAGCATCATGGTTGTAATCATTGTGGTTGATGTTAGAAACATTGTAAGATAAAAAAAGGCATGATCATCTTTGTGATAAATGTTCGAATAAGTTTAAATACTCTTCACTTAATTAATGACTGATAAGATACTTCTTTTTTTCATTGTTGTGCATTTCTACATTTTTATGATTAAATCTCAGTATATATATAACCAATACTTGTCACAAAGAAAAGATTCACTACAATAAAATCTATTTAAGAAAAAAAAGTTTGAAACAGTCAATCCTGTCAAGTTCGAATATGTGAATGAGACTGTGAAATGAATGTAGTTTCAGATTAGCGCTAAATCATTGAATTGATGCTGAAACATTCAGTGAATGATACACATAAAAAAATAATAGTTTAGTTTTACTACTAAGCGCGTTTGAGTTTTCAACCCAGTTTCAGCTTAAGCTTTTCAGTTATATTGTTATTTTTGTATATAAAAAGTGGACATTAAATGAGCACACGAATAAAATAATTAGTAAATAGACATACTAAGTATGTAGTTTTGAGGGTGTTGCATATCACCAATATGGTATGAAAAGGTTAGCTGTTGGCAAAGTTTTTGGTGATTGTATCAATACGCAACGAATGTTCATTTATTGTATTTGTACGCAGCAATCATTGTTCGCAATTTTTTCAACAATGATCTCTACCGAACTTCCATCATATTTCTGCAGCCACTTGCTTGATCGATGAGTCTTGCTTTAATGTCTATGCATTCATTAAAATTCATCTCATCTGGTATACATATACATATATATATGCAAAAGTAAATATAACTACATTGTTACTGATAAAATGCACGAAGAGTCATAATACCATTGAATTAAAGTACATGTAATGTGTCTATCGTTCTCACTCTTAACATTGTTGTTACCATTTAATGCTCTGAATATTAACCATTTTTATCAATAAATTTACTACATACACATTATTTCTCATCAATATATATATATATATATACGTCAATATCTGTGTTTTATTTTTATTTATGCGTCTTAAATTTATATCGATTATTACTTCAAATGTTGGCGGTCTGTCTTGCAATTTGTACAAAACAATTAAATTGTCTGACTGATCGTGTGCTACATGTACCTGCATATGCGTATGTTTATGCATATCCGTAACTTAGTGCGCTCATGTGTGTTTTTCGTTTTCTGTATGTACTTTGTTTTCCTTTTTTTTTCTGGTAATCTTTACTCTGGAAGTTTACTCATTTCTTTATACATATATATACATATTCATGACACCTTTTATTGATTATTATCTGCAGCTGTTTTGGTGTTTCTTTTTAACTCATAGTTTAATACTGTAAATTAAGAAGTTTTTCAATAATCATTTAGAAGTTTACTGCTGTGTAGAATAATCCCTTAGATTATAATTATTGTCAAGTGGCATTGCGTATATTGGCTCAATATTTAAAAAAAAAGTAAGAAAAGAAACACTGCGTAAATATTTTTCATCTAACCACTGGAAGTTTTAATTGTCTACAGTGAAGAGTTAATGCACCTTTTGACTTAGAATAGTTTAATGTTAAGTCTCATTTATTGGTTCCTGCCCATCATAAAACGAACTGGATATTTTTCACTTAGTTTATTGTTGGTATTACCACTGTGATACTCCGTTCGAAAAGTAAAGTGACACTTATGTTATTTATTCTGTTAGTAGGTTTCTTATCGCCTTGTTCACAATATTTACATCAAAGTACGTGAAGTACGTAGAAGTCCGAAAAATTCACTGGAAATTGTTAAACTTGGCGAAAATTCAACATTTCATGTTATATTCACAATAAACAATATCCCTTTGTTGAAATTCGCATATACTTAGTGATTCTTGCTATTTAAATTTCAACAAGCTAAACCGAATTTGTTTCCTAGTAAAAGTTACGTAACCACAATTCAGCATTGTACTTATTTTGTGATGTGTATGTGAATTTGCTAAAAAAAAACAATTGTAAAGTGTTGTGAAAAATCCTAAACTATAATCAATAAATTCTTTATTACTTCAGTATACTGTAAGATGTCAATAACGCGAAACGATGTATAGATAGATGTATTTTAACAATTCAGTGGAAAAAAAATCTAATGAGATATATCTATATTAATATTGTGCAATACACAAAATTTCTTATTTTAAAAATTCACTACTGAGATGAGATTGTGAAATTTTTTTCCAAAGGTATTTGATAAACAAATTCTTGTTCGTATTGTTTAACAATCCCAAATCATAATGTTCTTTTACCATATCCATACGAAATGTGTTATTCAAACCGTTTTCAATATACTGTTTTGTAATGAATCGGTTAATTTTTATAAGCTTTCATTTTTACTGTAATATGTTAATTTCCATTTTTTTTTTATTTAGACAACTATTGTATGTTCAATTGTTGGACTGATACTTGCTTTGCTAATTATCGGTTGCATAGTTTGGCTGATAAATCGTTGTTTTAGAAAAAATATTGAACATTCGGATTTACATCTTTCTCAATTAGATTTTGACAAACCTCAAACTACAGGGGATGAAAATAGTTCTGATGAAAAAGAAAATGAAAATCGACAATTTTCTGAGCATTATTATGATTCAACTAGAATTGACGAGGAGAAATACTTGGAACGACGTAGAAAACTATTAACTCGTCGACGTAGACTTAGACAACTCAATCCATGTTCTCAATGTATTTTTGGATTATATTATCGTATTGTTGACTTCACACATTCATCTCGTACAACAAGTCAATGTCAGTCAGATTTTGCTATTTCACAATATACTAATGATAACAACTTGTCCTCAGTACCTAATCAAACTAATGTGACTAATGTACGGCATAGTCGTTATTTCTCATCCTTATGCCCATGTTTCCGTTTATCTAGTTTCCGCAAGAAATTGAGGCATGATTCTTTCAAAATGACTCAATCTATTCATAGTTATCCTGTACCTAAGAATGTAATGATTGATGAAGAATTTGAGGCTAATACATTGGGAATGCAAATGGATAAATCGATAGTTTATGTAGCCAATGTACCTGCTGTTATTTCACCTCCTAAAACAATCGATTCTTCACCAAATATCTGTGTAAGCTGTGGAGTTTCTAGCAATCTTTTATTAAATACATGTACATCTTGTTATACTCAAAATAATCAAACTGGTGTTTCATCTTCAATCACTACTGATCATCATCCTATCAATGGTGAGTCAAATCATCACATGTCGATTGATGATCATGACGTGGTTGACCATGAGTGCGTGCCAACTACTCTTGGCTTGATAGAATCATCCTATCATTCATTATCATCTGGTTCTGCTGAATTAGGTTCTGCTATATTACCAGAAAAGTTATTTAATATGGCCTCGATGACTCATTTGCTACATCCAAAGTAAGCGTTGGTTATTTAAAATAATTTATTCGTTTAAAGATTTAACAATTTTTGTGACTACTTACTTTCTTAATTAAATATATGCTGAAATTCTTGTGTTCGTTATTTTAGATGAATGTATAGTTTATTACTGATCATACGTATTGACATATTAGGTTAGGATATTTTGTTCAGTCTGGAGATAGTTTGCGTGACAGATGTGTTCTTGTCCAAAAATCATTGAAAAATCGGAAGGTTGTGGACAGAGGAACCGTTTTTGTATGGAATGATCGCTCAGTGATATGCACACGCGACCCTGCCCTTAAACAAAATAATTTTTCCCTTCCATAGATTTTTCATTACAATAGTAGTATAAGAAAGTTCAGGCTATCAGATTATAACTGCGATTTGAAGGTAACGGGCTCATCAGTGAGTGTTTATGGTTCTCAGTCTGATCCATAGCTAGATCATGGTGTTTCCACTTGACTAATTTTATGCTAGAATGAAAAAGTTGTACAGTTCTCTTTAGTTCACAACTGTATGAAATATTTTCGATTGATGACCGATACCAACTTCAAATGTGATTAGTCAGCCTTCTGAATCTGAGTTAGCTTAAAATGTTCAAAATATGACATGATGAATTTTTTGTTAATTTCATTTAACTTAATTGCTTACAATGTGAGTGAACAGTACCATTGATTATCAGTTCATATCATTAAGTACACTAACATTGAATATAAAAGCGGTTGACTACATATAAAGTAGTGATGAATTATAATTTATTGGTAAAAATATCTTGTAAATATTTCATGGAAAAGTTGAAGTGACTATCGCATCTCTGTGCGAATGTGGTATGGCAACTTGAACTGATGTACTTGCGTACGAAGTTGCTGTTGATTGATTGATTCATGGAGAAGTTCATTCTCAATAATTCTTCTATAGTCTAAATCTATCAGTTTTCTTTGAATGCTATGATGTGTAGTAAGAAACTTTCCAGGAGCATTCATAAAATCACTAAAACTTTTCACTAAGGAAAATTACTTCGCTATTAGACTTATAAAAATATTCATTTGAAAATTCATTTGTAAAAGTAATAGAGTTCCTATTGATTTTATTTTTGTGAACAGCTTATGTTAAATAATAATAATATTAATAGTTTTATTTAACATTAGAATTATATGATTACTTTACTAGTCAGTATAAACTTTCATAAGAAACTAATAAATATAATGGTATATTCGTTGTAGTTATAGAAATAAATTCTAATTACTAAAAATGAAGTATAACTGTTTGTTATTGAAATTCAATCCATTCAATTAGAATGTACTTATATTTTTCGTTCACAAATCAATGTTTAAATAAAGAATATACTTACTTTCTACTTATTTTTAAATCTCTATTCTACTTGTAGGTTTAAATCAATATGTTATCCTCGTAGTCGTCTGGTTGAAATACGTTGTTTAGCTAAACGTGCATTTGGTTGGATCATTTTAGTACATGCTCCAAATTTGAATAAACTAGTTCATAGAAGACGTCTCTTAAGTTTAACCACTTCAGAAAGACTTGGTCTAGATTCTTCTAATTCACAAGAAAAAGAAAATACTTTTGACGGTATGGAATTTTCTTAAGTCTTTTTGCAATTAATTATACTTATAACTTGTATGCTAATCCTCCTATTGAATTAGTTCACGTTTTACTTGAAGAAAAGCTCTAATAATGACATGAAGTGATGATTGAATCATCAATACATTCAACTTACAACTATTAGTTCCACGATACAGTTCAAATATATCTGTTGTACTTTAATCAGTTTTCACTTTTACGCCTTAAATCAAGTACATAAACCGGTACTTGTTAAATGAATGTCACGGCAAATCAGTTAGATAAATGTTTAATTCAACTTTTTTCCGACCAATCTATCACATAGTTATTTAACATAATTTCCAGATGGGTCAATGTTAGACCACCATTAGAAACCTGGAAGCTCTGAACAGTCGTTTCGTCCTGGTATGGGACTTATCAGCAGTGCGCATCCACGACTCCTGCACCTCGCAGGATTCAAACCCAGTACCTACTGTCTTACGCGCGAACGCCTAACCTCTGAACCACTGAGCCCAAATTTATGTTAATTCGGAAAGATGAAGAGAGATATATGCACAAAAGGAATTGGGAAGTGGGATAAGAAGTTAATAATATCCAGTAATATCCACTTGAAATTAAAAATAACTTGAACGTTTCACTTCACAGTTTAGCGCTAGCTTCTATAGAAAAATAATCAAACATCAAAATTTATCGAATATAGATATTATTCAAATGATATCTGTGTACTGAATTCAATCAAGTTAAGATACAGAAAAAGCTCGAACCAGACCTTTGAGCAATACAATGAAGTTACTTTTAGTGTAAATCGTTGAAATCATGTCTTCTATACAATGGGCACTCAACTATAGTGAAACTTTTCCGAATTCAGGCAAAAGTCTTTATCGAGCATAAATGTTCTGGATTCATTAAGATTATTATCACGAATATTATCACTTAATTCTCAAAGTTGGATAAACAAACTTGTTATTGTTAGATGAATTGTAATGAAACATCGTAAATTTTCTTAATACACATGTTTTACCATTGTAAATATAATTTTGAAAATAAAAGAAACAATCGCATTTCGTTTCTTGTGCGTAATATTTTCTAAATGTAAACTATTTATTTCCTCATGTGATTACAAATTGTTATTTCATTATTTCGTTGTTGTTAATAAAATATAAACATTCTGTCTACCTTAAATCTGGTTTGTGAGTCAGTTACACCGTAGCTGCTACCTTAACGTGGTGGTGGTGGTCGGTCTTGCCTATTATGATGACACAAGCAAGTTATATTGGCTGGAACATTTGTTCTTTTAGGTTCTGCCATACCAGGCAGGTCGATTAGACAACGATAAGACTAGGGGACTCAAGTCAAAGTCTGAGGGCGACGTCGTACTGCTGACTGTAGAGGAGTGTGGCAGCAGTAAGTTGTTTCGCTCGGACAACCAGCATCTGCAGTGATGCTGCCTTCTCACAAGGAGGGAAGTGGTTTGAAAAGGTCAACTCTAAAATTGCCTCACCTCACCTTACATTTTGAAGAGCTGAGCTAGCATTTTAATAACCCATAAAAAGGTTCCTCAAGAAACACCCTTGCACGGTGTGGGCAGCCGGGAAGTGACATCCCCCCTCACACTCGTTACCTTAAATATGGAAAGTGATTTGCAAAATATCTTTTGATTGCCTCTACTATCATGGTTTTTATCTCAATTGTAATGAATATTGAATCGTATCAACTAAATTACCAGCCAATCAGGAAACACCATTTAGTTATAAAACAGTAAACAGTAGAAAGCAATAAAGCAACAGTGGAATAGTAGTTTTGATCTGAATTATCAACCGTCGTATGTGGAATTATTCCTTCTACAGAAAGAAGAAGCTTATGTTTACAGATAAAGGATTTTGCTAGTGTTATGAATTAGGTATTTCACTCCATAGAATTTTCGTCACACTCTGACACCAACTATAACTCAAAAAATGTTAGCGCGAGACATTAACAATTAAGCGAGATCAGTCTGTTTTCGACTAAAGTCTACCTAAATAAGTGAAAGCTTGCACCTGTGAGCTTATAATCTTAGTCAAAGGACATTTTCAACTCAATATACAATAAAGTAATATTATTCTTATAACAATGTTCTACGTCATATCATTATGTCTGATGACAATAAATACCATGCATTTATCAGGTTATTTTTACTCCAATTTATGAGTTCTGAAGCGATTCGTTACATCCCCTTTGTCCCCTTCGTTCGCCGGATGCAACTGAATAAATGATTTATTGTTACTATTATTTTCACATCCTGTATTTGTCATTGTTTTTCACCTCTTTCCGTTTATATTCTTCACTAGCTAATTTTAATAATGCTTTGTAATTAATACTTGAAGTTTGTTTATTCAAATAAATTTCTGTCAATTCGATTATTAAATATTTTTAATAAAATACTCATAGACTTTATCTTGTATTAATATTCTACACATTTTATCTGAAATCTTTTTTTTAATTATTACTTCTAGTTCAATCATCTTCAGAAGAATCAAACGATTGTATCGCCGTGGTGAAAATGATTCAAGGAGGTGCTAATTTAAAAGCTGAAGCTAATTTTCTTCGTGAAGCTGAAATATTGGTTGAATTACAGCATCGAAATATTATCCAATTGTTAGGTAGTTTTAAAAATATTCTCTCTAATTCACCTTGATATTTGATGTGGTAACTTTTATTCTGATTGTTATTGAACTGTTTAAAAATTTTCAACTGTTACTTAATTTTGCCAGTTTACTCACATTCTCCGCCTACATTCATGTAAAACCAATATGAATACTGGAAAAACAGTGATCAGGTTCAAGTCACAATACACCGTTTAGAATTAAAGAGGATTAATTTTATAAGATATAATAAAATCGTTTATTTTCAAGTTAGAGTTTTGGAGACTTGTGTTTTTACACATTTGAAATCATCAATCAATCATTGTTAGACCACCATTAGAAACCTGGAAGCACTAGACGGCCGTTTCGTCCATCCACGACTCCTGCACCTTCGGTATTGTGCACGAACGCCTGAGCCGGCATCCAACGGTGATAATGTCTAACTCTGATCGTTTATGTTGCAATGACTAATATCCATGGCTAAAATGAATGAATACGTTTACATGTTAAATGGCTTTGTGAGATTAATGATCAGAAGAAATATGGTTAACGTTGGGATACAAAAGGTAATAATGTGATTACACATCAAGAATCACGTATTATGTAAAGTGTAATATAAATGAAGTACAGATTGAATAATAGGGATAGCTTTTGAATGAAATTTCTCAAAGCATTTGCTAGCATTATAATAATAATGGTGATAGTAATAGCAATAATATGTGTGAATAAGATAAGTTATAAAAGTACAAAAAGGAAGGTTGTATGAACATCCATCAAATTATGTCACCATATCATCAAGATGGCGACCAAGTTAACGAAGCTAAAAACAGCGGTTGAATATAGTTCTTCACGCGAACCTCGGGCTTTTTGATCTCAATAGCTATTGCTTTAGCCATCTGATGAATTTCGACAGATTGCTGTTGACATTGTAGATTACTGTAATTGATTTCGCTTTGTTGGTGGTTGTAAGGCCTGTTTGTATTAAGTAAGCTAGAATCCATTTGTTCATAGTTTTAACTGTATTTTTACTTAACCATACTGAGAGGTGCTTGTCAACACGAAAATCTAAATTCCTATACGATCTACCAAATCATAACTCACTCCGTAAGAGTAGTTGCATCGATAGATATGCAAAGAGGTGGCTAGTCCAGGTAATTTATCTTTCAGTTCTTGGAGTTTCAGCATTTGATCTAAGACTCAGCGATACACGCAACCTCACAAATCACATAGATACAGACAGCTAATTTGAAAACTTATACATACATAAATATTATCATTATTATTATAACATAAACGCTTTCGGAAATTTATTCAGAATACACCCCTGTTTACTGATTCATTTTACTTTGATTTGTAATCACATTATTATCTCTCACCATAAGTTAACCATATTTCTTCTGATCACTAATCCCATAACTCCACATTAAACAGATAAATTTATGGATGATTTATTTTATGTGGTTGTGAAGATTGTTGAGTTTCATTTAAACGATGAATCGATCATTATTAAATCACCATTCAAAGCATGAAAGCACTGGACAGCCGTAGCGTCTTCGTTTTGGGACTCATCAGCAGTGCGTATCCATGACTCCCGCAGGTGGGAAGCGAACCCAAGGCTTTCGGTCTCGCGCGTGCACGCTTTCAGGTTTCTAATGCTGGTCTAACAATGATCGATTCATCATTTCAGTGAAACTTGTAGATTTCATCGATATTTATAAGTCATCCTAATAATAACGGTTTATGTGACAAACAATCCTATATTCACATGCTGTAATTTTAAACGATGTATTATGACTTGAACCTGACCACTTTTCGGATTATTCATTTGAATATATGACCATATAAACTTGGAAGGAAAGTGCTTCAGTTCACATAATTTGTGTTTAAATATGTTGAATTGAAGGGGATTAATGGAGCGGCACAGTATTAGAATATGTTATTTAGTGAATTGATGATCGAATGAAAACGTTAACTAATTCACTATTATCTATTTCATTCCATTTCATTAATTAAATGAGATTAACACTTATGTATATATTCATTCTACAATGACTTTCAATTATTTCTATTCTACATAAACTTCATTCACTGTCTCTTTCGTATGATTACGTCAATTTTAATATATACATATATTCACTTGTAATTTAATTTTAGGCGTATGTATTCCATTGGAACCACTTTCACTTCTTATTGAATATATGCCTTTTGGTGATTTTTATTCATTTCTACGTCGCTATGCCAATGAATCATCAGGATATCGTAAGTATTTATTATTTATCATTGTAGATTCTTTTGTAGACACAGCCAATGGAGAAATAATCAATTCAATGATTTATAAAAAGGATTCCGCTGATCAATATCCTAGCAAATTGAATATACAAATTCTCATTGATATGGTCATTGATGCTTGTGAAGCTATGGTTTATTTAAGTGAAGCATATTATGTACATAGGTGAGTTAATATCTTACATGATGATAATTGGCATTCAAAAAAGCTTAACTATCACGATTTTTAAGTTTTAACAAATCAAGTATAAAACCGTCATAAAAATTAAATTTGCTACAGTAACCAATCTGTGATTCTTTTATTGTTTTCTATATCACAATGTCACTGACACATAAGAATTGTTTTATCCTTTAGGTATGACTAACAAAATTTATATGCAAAAACAAGGATAGTGGCAAACAATACAATTTTTGGTGTTTTAGTTGAATAGTCTGCATACATCAATTTCTCAATGATTCCACTTAGTCATTGAAATCACGAATCGATCAATGTTAGACCACCATTAGAAACCTAGAAGCATTGGACGGCCGTTTCGTCCTTGGATGTAACTAATCAGCACTGCGCACCCTCGACTCCTGCACCTCCTAGGATCCGAACTCAGTACCTTCGGTCTTGCATGTGAACGCCGTCCAGTGCTTCCAGGTTTCTAATGGTGGTCTAGCATTGATCGATCCATGATTTCACTGCGTAACACAACATTCTTCACAACCGTGTAATGTGATTCCACTTAGTGCCAACTATTTTTATTTAATGTGTCTTAGTATACCGTTTAAACCATGAATAGTTACTAAGATATATTTTCAAGATATTACTAATAAACGACGGACATTTTATATGGAACAATTTAAAAGTTGTAATAGTTTTATTTGAAATGTTATTCATTCTAATGTTTACTAATTAGCTAGCATATAATATCTTATAGATATAAATTGCAATAGTAATGAATATTCATGTCATTAAGACTTTGTGAATAAATTTCGTACGGCTGTTATAAAATTGCTTATCGAATTAGAATATGCCGATGACATAGTCCTACTTGGTGAAGACGCTGACAAAATGCAGAGTCTTCTGACCACCCTAAGCAACAATGCAAGCATGTTCGGGATGCGGTTCTCACCCTCGAAATGAAAAATATTGCTTCAGGACTGGGTTGCATCGGCACTTGAACTAGTGATAGGGAGTGAAGTAGTCGATCGTGTTGACCGCTTCACTTATCTTGGGAGTCTCATCAGCGCTGATGGCCTGGTGACTGACGAAATCTCAGGTCGGATACAGAAGGCTCGATTGGCTTTCGCGAACCTGCGTCGCCTATGGCGCAGGCGAGATATCCGTTTGCTGACTAAAGGACGAGTGTACTATGCAGCAGTTCGCTCCGTCCTACTGTACGGATGTGAGACTTGGTCGTTAAGAGTAGAGGACTTCCGTAGGTTACTAGTCTTCGATCATAGGTGTCTTCGAAGCATTGCTCGTATATCGTGGGACATCCGAGTGAGCAGCGCTGTTATTAGGAAATGGGTGCTAGGTAAGAATGGCAGATCAATAGATGAAGTGGTGAAACTTCATCAGTTGAGGTGGTTGGGACATGTGTTAAAAATGCCTAACCACCGACTGCCACGACGAGCTATGTTTTACAGTATAGGAGTAGATTGGAAGAAAGCTGGGGGCGGTCAAACCAAAAGGTGGCAGAAATCCATGAATTCACTGACAAGTGGACTGAGTCATGTTGGTAGATGTAGGCTACCCGATTGGGGTCCGCGAGTCGATAGTCACCGATGGTTAGAGACCTTGAATGACATGTCTCAGAATCGTTTGCAATGGCGCAGGTGCATCCACTCTTTGTGTTCTCTCTAATTCTAACCTGCATTCCTCATAATCTCTACCTTTGTCCTTCTAAATTTATCTTACTGAATTATACTTCTCGAATCATATCTTCGCTCCCTAATCTTCTCCATTACTGCTAATACTTCTATTATTGCTATCACTGTTCTATTTGAACTGACATTTGCGTCTCTGTGGTGATGGAGCATGGCAACCTGAACTGATGTACTTACGTACGAAGTTCTGCGTTGTATGTCTGTCTGTCTTATAAAATTATTTGTATTATGTAAGTTAATATTTTATTTTGTAATTTCAGATCTTTATGTTGAATAGTGGGAGAAACAGTATTATCTAATATGTAATTAGTTAATGAAAACCTTTATGATGTTAAACTATCCTATGATAATATCTGTTACAAATCTTTATTCATATTTTTTGATCAAATTCTAGTCTATTTTATTATCTACCATATGTATGCAATTTAGATGGTATTTTATTAAGAATAATGATAGGTAACTGTTTCATTGCTAGTACTTCTAATGATTGAATGTTCATGCCGAAATCTGTCAGTCCTATGCGTGATTCTTGACGAGATCGGACGTGTACACTGTTGTAGAAACATATACTTGCTTGTTTCCCCTAACTAACCGACGGAAACCAGTCTATAACAAATTTAACTTATAGTTTACAAGCTATTACGTAATGACACATGCAAAATGATCAATTTGGAAAAATATTGAATCTCAATAGGATGAACTTTTGTGGTTAATAAATTAGTCACATGTTTTGTAAAGGTCATTGAATTTTTAATACCTTGACTGGAACCAAACTATTTAGTTCATAAAATATTGACCCAAAAAAATTACAAAAATAAAATTATAGAATGATTTATCACGTTAATATCGGTAAAGGAATTTGTGTTTAATAAAGGTCAAAACCTAGACATATTTTGAATGAGTAAGCTTACTAACTTGTCTAAGCAATCTTTTTTTAAATAACTGTTCCTTTATACGGTTTGTGTATCAATTAAATACCATTTGGATCGAATGTAACTAGTTGAGTATAAATTACAGTTCTAGTGTAAAAGTAAAATAATTCAATGAATAAAACAATCGGATATTTAAGATCCAGGAGACTGGTTGTGTTTTCTGGGCTCAAGGACAAGGCAGGGAGAAGCTAAATAATCATAAATCAATAAGAACTTAGCCTTGACGTAAGGTTATTAGCAGTGGGGACGTATTCCTACTAGTGTTTGTGTTATATGAATTTAGTCAGGTTGAAATTCATACCAAGAGATAACTGTGTAATCGACGTTATCAACGAATGACTTCTCAAAATATCTGCACTATAACATTCAATCTAAATATGGATAGCATTTGATCTCAAGCAACGTTTCAACCAATACTACAGTTTAAGCTGATTAACACCTAATCACATGAATTTAACAAACATCTGAATAAAAATTTCTGAATTCCTCATAATCTCTATCTTTCTCCTTCTAAATTTTTGTTACTGATAAATTTCTACATTGCTGCTAATAATTCTACTATCGCTATCACTCTTGGATTTGAACTGACAGTTACGTCTCTGTGTTGACGTGGTATGGCAACCTGAACTGATGTACTTACGTACAAAGTTCTGCATTGTCTGTCTCTCTATCTCTGTGAATAAAAATTATTAGAAGAAATTAAATCTTGTTTTTTTTTAATGCAAATAACCAACTGAATGTATACACATCATACAGCTAAAGTTATTATCACATAATTATTCTTAATGTTTAATTGGTAAGAAATTATTGACAAATTGTACATCCTACCACTAGAAATCTCTCTCATAAAATATACTACTTTTTGTACCTCATACATGTTACTTTCTTCTGGTTTCATCTACGTTGTCTGTGTGTCAGCTGACAGCATTTTCTTTATTTCTTTTTTTTTGTTTGTGAATAATCGTTCAATTTTTTTTCTTATTCGAATGTTTATTATTACTCAAGTGAAGTTTTTCAACGTCTCATTCAACTATGTATCAGTCTATCTTTCTTAATTATCAATTAGATAGTTAAGTTTGTATAGAAAAGCAAACTAACCCCTATATAAAAAGAAACAAAAAACGAGATACAAACTGATTTTCATTATCTGTTTGTTTGACTGTTATTTAATGATGCATCATAATAATAATAATAATAATAATAATAATAATAATAATAATAATTCACATTAGTGTATGTTGCTGTTTTTTTTCTTTTCGTTCTATTCATTCTAATTTCACACTATCAATAACTAAACAGTGTGTTGATAGATATATATATTTATTTTTTTTCTTCTCAAATAATGAAAACGATCGATTAGAAAATTTAACTTTTCGCAAAGATGAATCATTGAAATTTCAAATGTACTCATAATTCACAAATGTGTAATAAAATTAGTGTGTATATTCATTTTAATTACTTTTTATTAATTTAATTTATTTTATTCTCAAGTTGTAAAAATATCTTGACATCTCTTATTATATATACTTGAATGACTGACATGATCATAGTATTCATTCAAATGGTTGAGCAGAAATAATCACATCCATATGACGTTATTTCATATTTTCTTTCTTATGTCGTGAAATTGATCAACTTTATTTCAATACTGAATGTATGAGAGTATAATGACTAACTGGTTTTAGATGTTGAATCTCTGAATAATAAATACCGTTTACTTACATAAGATTCAACTTTATTGACTACAAGAAAGCATTTAATAGTGTGGACAGGACAACACTATGGAGGCTTCTTCGACACTACTGCGTGCCTGAGGAGATAGTCAATATCATACAAAATTATTATGATGGATTAAATTACAAAATCGTGCACGGAGGACAGCTTACAGACTCATTCGAGGTGAAGACCGGTGTCAGGTACGGTTGCTTACTCTCACCCTTTCTCTTTCTCCCGGTGATTGACCAGATTATGAAGACTTTAACATCTAGAGGGAAGCGCGGGATACAATGGACAACTATCACCCAGCTGAACGATCTGGACTTTGCAGATGATCTGGCACTTCTATCCCACACGTAACAACAAATGCAAGAGAAGACGATCAGTTTGGCTTCAGCCTCAGCAGCATTAGGTCACAACATACATTAAGGGAAAAGCCTTCATTTGGAACCCTCAAGACGGACGGAAAAAAGGAAGGCCAATGAACACATTACGCCGAAAAATGGAGACAGACATGAGAAGAGTGAAAAACGATTGGACAGAACTAGAAACGAAGGCCCAGGACAGAGTAGGCTGGTAAATGCTGGTCAGCAGCCTGTGCTCCATTGGGGGTAACTGGCGTAAGTTAGTAAGTAAGTAACTTACATCAGATAATTTCTATTTGGAGGGTAGGGATGTTATTCGCCCATATATTTATTTTCAAATAAATAAAACTAGTTGGATTCATAAGTTTTCAATTAAATCCATTTCACATCTTTCTGAGTTAAAGACTGTCAAAAAATTATTATCATGTATTTCCTGTCTTAGATTATTTTTACTTATTACATTCGTCAATCAATTTTTTATACTTATCATACGATTGGGTTCTGGAGAGTGTATTGTCCTAGCTGTCCTAATAGGATTGTCAGTTCTCAAAATTCATGTTCAGTTAGCACTTCAATACTTCCTGAAGTCGAATATAATACACTGTATTAGCATTATGATAATTTTTCTTAAAATGAATTAAGTTTTCTCTGAAGATTTCATAAGCCACTTACCACTGTTTCTTTTGTTCACCTGTAGTTTGTTGATTTGTATCTGAAATATTTAGAATTTATGTGACTTCAAGATCTTTCTTTTGTTTTCTATATCTGTTGCCTCGAAAAGCACATCATTTTCAATTTTTATTGATGTTAATTTTAACTACTTGTATGGTAATTTCAGTACAGTAATGAATACATTTTTTATGATTCCGACAAAGAAACTGAAATTATGGGCTTTTGTTTTATTCATGCAAATTTCAAATCTTTTGAACAGTAATTCATGTTTACTTCCCAAAATTTTTGTCTTATATTTTCTATTATTTCTTACCTAATTTCTAGTGTTTCTTTTTGATTTTACTCAGGTATATTAAAATGAACCAACTGATTCCATTAAAAATAGGGAATTTTCCAAAACTAATGTAGAAAAACTTACTTGGGTTTGTTACATTTTTAATTGTCCAATGCAATATTATTTAAACTGCTGGTATACTCAGTCTGTCCAACAAATACAGTGTCTGTTCCCATGAAAACGAAAATACATTATTCTCATCTCATTCAAAATCTTTTCTGTTTTTGGCCATACATATTTTATGTCTGTCTCCTGCTGACAATAACTTTTTGACAGTTTTTACACACAATATCCTCAACCTAAAGTGTTTTACCCCCGACCGTAGTTTCTAACTTGACGTGGTGGTCGGGCTTGCCTATCATGATGACAAAACCAAGTTATATTGGCTGGAAAATTTGTTCCTTTATGTTATGCCATGCCAGGCATGTCGATTAGACAACGATAAGACTAGCAGCAGCAGCTGAAGGTCTGAGGGCTGTAGAAGGGTGTGACAGCAGTAAGGTGTTTCCCTCGGACTACCAGCATTTTCAGCGTTGCTGCCTTCTTATCAGGAAGGAAGGGGTTAGAAAAGGTCGACCCTAAAAATTTTACATATCACCTTACCCCATGAATTTCCGTCTCTGGCGGTAAGGCCACTTGAACAGCTGAGCTAACACTTTAAAAACTTCCCATAAAAATGCCGTGCTTGACCGGACTGAAGCAGTTATCCGTTGGGCTCTGCGGTCACACTCCCAGGTCTCTAAAATCAACACTAATCTCACTTACTTTTCAGGTTCCTCAGGAAACACCCTTCAACGGTGGGGGCATCCGGGAGATGACATTCACCCCCACACCGGTAACAACACACGAGACCAAATCGGTCATGATAAAATTCTTCCGAAGTATTTTATTATTTCCCTATGCGAAGTAATTTTCTCGAATTCAGTTTAGCATCAATCATGTAAACAGTGATTCCAGTGCCCAGTAAATACACTGAGACTGCAAATGTTTGATATCCTTATTATTGGTGTTTGAAGTCGATTTTCGTCTGTAACTATTTTATGTCCATGTGACTATCATATTTTTCGTTAAAAGTTTTCTCTCTATTCCATTTACTTTTATTTAATTGTATGACGCAATGATTTATATCAGTTGGCGTGTCATTTTACTGTATAAATTCACTTCGAAATACTTTTTCCTTAAAAAAATATAGTGTAACTGATACCATAAATTATATTTAAAGTACATATAGAATTTAGTTTTTAACTGTGCTCGTCAATTAATTTTATGGTGCACTATTGGTTGCTTTACGTAATACTTTGTTAATTTTTAAAAAATAGTATTAACTTCTCTTATTCTTGAAATGATTTTCATTATATATATATATATATATATAGTTGTTTATAAGATGTTATGACATTACTCATTAAAATAACAATTTCTATTCTGCTTAATTCCACGTACATACATATTTATTTGTACTGATTCTTTAAAGTATCATTTAAACAGTACAATATAGTGCTTTAAGTAAGTGAGTAAGTAATTCATATGACCAAATCTAATTTGTTTTGATTATTCTTTTCATGTTGACGAATTATGTTGTTTGACTTGGTGCATTGAAACAAAAGGGTCAAAGTTTGATACTAGAACTGGATGATCAAACTGAAATTGTTTTACATCATTAAATCCATCACTGAATATTTGTTGTAAATGAAGAGAGATATTCTGTCATATCACTTCAAATTTCACTTTAATTTTTAGCATGCATAATAATATTAGTTTTATTATTTCTTATGTTTTTATTTTAAAATTAGAATGATTTGAATATAATGGGTAAATGTGTTATATGATGTTACATTTAACCACATTGTAATTTTACAAATGAATATTGTTAATCACATTTGATCTGCATTACCAAAAATATCTGGACTCTAAGTTCTAGAGCATAGACACACATTTCAACGTCCGACGATAGTTGTATTCCTTGATCTTAAGGCATCGTTTGACTCTGTTGCTTGTGATGTTCTGTGGCAGTGTCTGTCATTGAAAGATATACCAAAGAAGTCCATTCGTTGACTTCTCTCAAATTCTAATTTTCTGAATTCCTCAACACCTTTTATCTCTTTTAAAATTCATTTCAGTGAATTATAATTCTTGAATCGTATCTTCAAACCCTGATCTTCTCCATTACTACTAATACTTCTACTACCTCTAACACTATGGGATTTAAATTGACAGTTCAATGTGGTATGACAACTGGAACTGATGTACGTACGTATGTATGAAGTTCGGCGCTGTAACTGACAGACAATCATTTCAAACCAGCTATTTAAATTAAGAATCTATGGAAAGATGGTTTTTGATTGAGCTCGTAACAACAAATAATTAATTATTTCAAAATTTTGTTACTGTACAACTTTTAAAATACCCAATTGTAATATTTATACCATTGTGTACTAAACACTAATTTCACTTAATGAAATTCCTGCCATAAAAATTTGACAATAAGTCAACAACAAAATGTCCATAGAATAGAGTTTATCCAACAAGAGTTGATAGGCTGAACTTGAAGTACATAAACCATTCAATCACAACTTTATTACAAAACCATAAATAAAATTTTATTCAGTAAAACAAGAAAGGGAGAACAAACAATCATAACCAACATGTGCAAGGTAAACAGAGTTAAGATAAAATGAATGAAATCAAAACACAAATAGTTAAACTGTTTATTTTGTCATAATAACTTTATTTCAATAGATTATATCAAAAACAAAGGTCATAACTATTCATAAATAATTGTTTCAAACTGACTGATACATGTGATTACTTGTACAGACAGCTATTGCAAGAATTAAACAAACTTAACGATATGTAATTTAAACGTTATGCGATCATGGTTAAATAAATTCCTTTCGTCTAAAGTACATTTTGTGGTGATAATGAACTAAGGCTTTAAACCAGATGCAATGAGCCAGGTTGCGAGTGGTCTACACGACAGACACTAAAGGAATAAGCATTATATCGACAAGATACGGGCATTAAAAAAAACTGAAATGGGTTAAAGTCCCAACATCACCAAACCCAATTAAGAGTGCGAATAAATAAACTTTTTATTTAATAATCTGAAATTTCTTTTTAAAATTAGAAATTTTATGAATACCTTGAAGAAACGACTTATCATCAGTTAATTAATTTATTAAACTCCCAAAAATTATCAATTTATTTCACTATCTCCACTTGTGTTGTATTTAATTCTAAAGCATTTTCAATAGTGATTTATTTTGCAATAAAAGTCCAACAAAGTTGTTGTATTTCTTACATCACATTTTTCAATATGTTAAATCTACTGTTTCCATTTTATCATTAAAACAACTTGTAAAAATTAACATATTTATTCATTTTTGTCAATATCTTGTAACATGTAAATCCTTTAGGTACAATTATCACGTCACTGTTTACAAGTAGACTATTTGTATATCTTTTATGAATCGAATATATCTAAACTTGTGTATTTGACCTTTTCAGAATTTAAACTAGTCACTGTATTACAGTATATTAGAAAAATAGTTCATTCTAATGCTTTTATTACGTAATTATTTTCACTGTTTATTTTTTTTTATTACAACTTATCAACAGAGATGTAGCTACCAGAAGTTTTCTTGTTGGAAAAAATTTAATTATTAAATTATCCGATTTTTCAATGTGTAGACCAATTCAACCTGGTATTGATTTTATTTCTACGCCTAATGAATGTTTACCAATAAAATGGTTACCGCTTGAATCAATTTTAGACGGGAAATTTCATACAGATACTGATGTTTGGTCTTTTGGAGTTCTTTTGTGGGAAGTTTTTAGTTTTGCTGTTGAACCATTTACTGACCAAAGTCATGCAGAAGTAAGTATTACAAAAAAAAAATAAACTTCAATTAATTTTTCATTTTGTGTTCAAATATCTTGTAGAAATGGGTCTAATTCATTTATCTAATTAAGAATTATAAGTGTTTGGTTAAATAAGAGGTTTATTTGTTAGTAGATTCAAACTTACGTACTGTACATCATTCAACCTGAGTTTAATTTAAGATTTCAATTAGTCAAATGGTGAAAATCCAATTTATCGTTTGGCATTGATCATTACTATTTGAAATGAACTTTGTTTTTCTGTTTTAATTTGCTATTTATATGTAATGTATTATATCTTAACTTATATTTTCGAATATTCAAATCAGTATTTGTGAAGGCATCAATTTAAGTTCACTATGTTAATATGGAGTAAGATTTATTAATGGAAATCAAACTTAATGATATATAGAACTTTTGCCGAGTGTTTTGACGTTTGTCGATTCTTACTATCAGTATAGATCGTTTAGATCCTTCTCCTGTTTGTTTGTTTTTTGAAAAAAAATAGATCATTAAACTTTTGGAACATGGTGGCCGTTTAACACGTCCGTTGGAATGTCCTGACTCTGTTTACCAGTTAATGCTTAAATGTTGGTCAGCTGATCGTACAGAACGTCCGAAATTTGTCTATGTACGAAACTGCCTAAAAGAAATCTGTAAAGATCTGAAAACAGTTTCACTTTGAAATGAACTACCTCACTTTTTTTTTACTTAAAGAAAACCAAACATGATCAATGATTATCAAAGTTTTTTAAATCATTTTTGCAACTACATACTTGTTGTTTGCGTTTTTCTTTTTAATTCGTAGCTTTCCATAATCTAACTACTATTGTTATAATTTCTACTGTACAGTGTTTTCGTTTAAATATTATGTAAATTCTTAACTTGAAAGAATTTTTAGATAGTTCTCCTGCTAAATCATTATCATTGTAAATTCTAATGCAAATGTGAGTTGGCTTAAGTTTTTATCACGGATAAGCACAACTAGATGAAATCAATAAGTTTATTCGTTTAGAATTGAAGTAACATAATGGTGATGGAAATGGAAGAGCCTGAATATTTAAAATATGGTTTGAAAAGACAGTGTGTACTGGAGCTGAAAATTTATCATATTGATTAATCTGCTAAATGAACGCAATATCTGAATTCCTATCCGCTTCTAATAATAACTAAATTTTCTGCAAAGGTTATATTGGGTTGCGATTGGAGGGTGCCTTTCATGGTTTTTGTGGGCCTCTACAGACTTTTCCGAGGGACTTTGAGGGGCTCTCCAATATATATGATAATGAGTGAACTCGCCTACGCAGCCTCACATCATTGATCGTTTAGACGTCAAGCAAGTCATTAAAATCACTGATATGTCAAAAATCAACAGTCAGTTAGTAACATGACCGCTTGGTTTTACCGTTCTTACCTTCGAACCTATTTCTACGGCAGCTGGCATTGGTTTTCTCATTTAGCTCCCTGAAAATCTAGCTTCAGACTACCCAAAAAGTCATGTAGCTGCTTTGATGATGAGATCCTTCTCAATGCTTTTGTCCATGTAATCTCTAGGGTCTCGTTAAAGTGCTTTCTAATACAAATGTACTAAATTCTCCAATTGTGGTTTCTTTCGAAGACAACCGAACACACTCATTGTCAAAGAGTTTGACAACACTAATCTTTTTTGTGTGGTAACATTCTGTGATTTTAGCAGCAGCATCTCCATACTGTGTTCTTGCTTGTGCTTTGGACTCGTTCGGGAAATTGCAGTTCGTGGTTGGAATTAGTGAGAATATCTGACGGAAGTATGAATGGTATTTGTCCTCATTATCCTTATTTAGACAGTTGTAATTAATATCGCACCAATAATATTGTGCTAGTGAATGGAACATGTAATTGTTGAATATGTGTTTCGGCAGTTCAGGATAATTACTTACTCCGCATTTCATTCTCACTGTGCATGTGACTGTTTCGACTACGATAGTTGTCGCGCCCGTATCTTCATCACTTGATGTTGTCAACTGTTTTATCTACTTCCATAAAGATATCTAGGCTAAGTTGAATGTAACTGTTGTTGATTGTGTAATTTTGATGATTTGGACACTAGACAGGGAGCGCGGTCAGTGCGTCAACGTTGTTACTGATGGTAGTGGAAAAGTCCTTGCGCATAACTAAAGCCGAACATAAGTACACCACGAATATCAGGCCAAATGGAATGAGAAGTGCTTTAAATCTTCGATGTGATGTGAGGTACCAATCTTTCTCTAGCAAATGGAATCTGAACTCCACAATCTAAACCTCAGCCGGATTATTTTCGACATTATGAATCAAGTATTGGACTGAAATAGTGGTAGTCTATGGTTAGTGGTTCTGATCAGTTTAAAATAGATCAACATTTTTTGAGGTTCAAGATCTTGAAGCTAAGTGAAAATAGATGTGCTTACTTACAAGGCGTCTATTTGAATGTCTTTTTATAATATATAGAAATATATTGAAACGTCAAAAATGTATGGGCACTAATGAATATCTGTTAAATATCTTCACAACAACCTGTATGGAAGGATACAGAAACTGTCCTTTTTCAGTATTACATCATGAATACTGATTCCTTCAATAGTCCTTCAATCATTATAATTTATCTCATCTTAGTTCTGACCGTTTTGTCATGTTAGCTAATCCACTAGGCTCACGTGATTCTCAATATGACAGGGAGTCGGAGTTCGGGAAGGAACATTCTCTCTGTTGTGTTTCCATTCTAAAGATTTCACTATTTAACGTATTAATCCATCAGTTATTACCAACTTAATGACCGTAAAATGAGTTAACGTATCATGGGAGTCGAACATTTAGAGGACCATATGTCGGTCTATCCAAAGTCCTATGTAAGGTAGTGAGTGAACTTTGTCAATTCAGTTTCTAGCGAAATAGGTACATTGGATGTAACACTCAGCACTCATAATTAGGCATCTACATACAGCTTGATATTAATTAGGTCTACAAAACTGCCAGGTACTCAAAATATGGTCATGTTGTCGATGGGGGTGTGCCTTTATATCCAGCAAAGAACTGTTCACTGATTTATGTAGAGTAGCTTGATTTACGCGGTCGTCGAGCTATTCGATTATCTTTGTTGATAAGCATATCCAGAAATTAACACACAAAGCCTTAATCCTTTGTGAATATAATTTAGTTAAAACAAGAGCATGACCCCAGGTATTGACGTATTAGAATAATGGAAAGATTGAAAACTAATACAACATAGCCATAACTTCAAACAAGTAAAATAATGGACACAATAATTCAGAAAGTTGGGAGAATAAAATTTGAAGTAGGTAACTCACCAAATTAACCTCAGCTACGGCCCAAACAGGACTTGATTATGAAGATAAAAGTAAGGACTTTGTATTCAAGATGAAGACGAAATATTGTTGATCTGTTAGAGATGTTCACGTGTGGTTTTTCACTAAACAGAGGACAGATGAAGCAAAATGGGTTATTAAATGTTTCATTTGAAATGTAAATCTAATAACTCAGTGAAATAGTGTATGCGCTTCAACTTTCTACCTTGACTTCTTTCCCATAAAACTACTTACTTACGCCTGTTACCCCCAATGGAGCATAGGCCGCCCACCAGTTTTCTCCAACCAACTCTGTCCTGGGCTTCCCTCTCCAGTTCTGTCCAATGTTTGTTCATTCCTCTCATATCTTTCTCTATTTCTCGGCGTAGTGTGTTCCTTGGCCTTCCTCTTTTCATTTTGCCTTGAGGGTTCCATGTAAGGGCTTGTCTCGTGACGCAATTAGGTGCTTTTCGTAGTGTGTGTCCTATCCACTTCCACCGCTTCTTCCTGATTTCCTCTTCCACTGCAATCTGACTTGTCCTCTCCCATAGTTCGTTGTTGCTGATGGTGTCTGGCCAACGAATCCGAAGTATTTTGCGAAGACAACTGTTAATAAACACTTGTATCATCTGGATGATGCCTTTCGTAGTTCTCCAAGTTTCCTCTCCACACAGTAGAACTGTCTTGACATTTGTATTGAAAATCCTGATTTTGGTTTTGGTTGAAAGTTGTTTGGAGTTCCAGATATTTTTCAATTGTAGAAATGCAGCCCTTGCTTTGCCAATCTGCGCCCTCACATCTGCACCAGATCCACCTTCCTCGTCGACGAAACTGCCCAGATATGTAAAGGTGTTGACGTCCTCCAAGTCATCTCCATCAAAATTGATTTGGTTGGTGCATGTTGTGTTGTATCGGAGAATTTTGCTTTTTCCTTTATGTATGTTGAGACCTACTGCTGCAGAGGCTGCTGCTACAGAGGTCGTCTTCTCTTGCATTTGTTGTTGCGTGTGAAATAGAAGAGCCAAGTCATCTGCGAAGTCCAGATCGTCCAGCTGTCCAGTTGATACCGTGCTTCCCTCCAGATGTTGACGTTTTCATAATCCAGTCGATCACCAGGAGAAAGAGAAAGGGTGAGAGTAAGCAACCTTGCCTGACACCGGTCTTCACCTCGGACGAGTCTGTTAGCTGTCCTTCGTGTACGAGTTTGCAGTTGAATCCATCATAAGAATTCCGTATGATGTTAACTATATTCTCAGGCACACCATAGTGTCGAAGAAGCTTCCACAGTGTTTTCCTATCCACGCTATCGAATGCTTTCTCGTAGTCGATGAAGTTGATGTAGAGTGGTGAGTTCCATTCAGTTGATTGTTCCACAATGATCCGTAATGTAGCAATTTGGTCAGTACACGGTCGATTCTTACGAAATCCGGCCTGTTGATCTCGAAGTTGGACGTCTATGAAGTGCTTCATTCTGTTTAACAATAACCTGTTAAAGAGTTTGCCTGTTATTGAAAGAAGAGTGATGCCTCTGTAGTTCTCACACTTGCTGAGATCGCCTTTCTTTGGTACTTTGATGAAGTATCCTTCTTTCTAGTCTGATGGTACTTGTTCCTCATCCCCAATCTTCTTGAAGAGGATGTGAAATATTTTCGCAGTTGTTTCTACATATGCTTTCATTGCCTCTGCTGGAATGTTGTCTGGTCCTGCTGATTTGCCACTCTTGATTTGTCTGATGACCATGCTGATCTCTTCAATTGTTGGTGCGCCAATAATAATTGCGAGGTCCGTGGATGCTGCGTCGATGTTGTGTGTGTTCACTGGTCGATTCAATAGTTCCTGAAACTGCTCTACACACCTATTTCTCTGTTCTTCAGTGTTGCTGATTACTTTCCCTTCCTTGATTTTCACTGGTCGTTCTGGTTTACGATAGTTTTCGGTGAGATTCTTTGTTGTTTCGTACAATTGTCTAAAGTTTCCGTCCGTTGCAGCCTTTTCCGCCGTCATTGCATCACAAGCAATCAACAACAAACATTCAATATACATTCTACACCAGCCCACAAAATCCCTCTAAGCAAAACAAGCCCTTTCTAACACTTCAATTTACGGTTCACTCTCATCCCCTAATCCACGCCGGAAGAACGAGCAGGACTTACAGCAGTACGCCTACCCGCCCTACAACATGGATATAACCTATCAAACTAACTATGTACCTGCACCTTCGACATCTGGTCCTTGATTCCCCTATCTATCGTAGCATGACCTAACGGTAGTATAAACCTTACCCAATTAACCCACACGAACATGTACAACACGTCGTAAAGCTGGTCGAATCCTCTTAGAGATTTACCTTCTACCTCATGTGGATGAGTCGTCAATCCACCACCCATTTCTCCAAACAGCAGATACGATGAAGCCCGTTATGCTGACTTATAAACAGAAGTTCTTGACTCATAGATTATATGCAAGGGTGGGATCTCCGATTTTGACGTTTCCTCGTCTCCTGAAGACTTTAAGTGGCATAACATGGGACCAATATCTAACTCTCCATCTCCTGATACAG